ATCATACGGCTAGCCCCCGAATAGTGAGAGAAATCAATCGGTCATTGGTCAATTACTACTTTGACTAAAATTATATAATAAAATAGATACATGTACAAAGATACACTATAACAGATGTACTATTCAAAAAAAGTAGGGGATATTTGATTTTTAAGTGTTATTATAGTCACCTAATGAAACTGACGAAGAAACAAATGACAAAATGAAATGAAGTTCACATTCATCGATTTATTCCAAATGATCGTTAGACTAAGTAAGGCACAGACTGACCATTATAAGGGTAAAATGATACCCGGGGTCAAACAGCAAAGTTACCACAGCATCACAACCAAGTCAGAAACGGGTAAATCTTCCTCTGTTTGCCAAACAAGCATTGATCCGACGTGGCATACTCCTAATGAGACGTCTAAGGTCATTTTGGTCCAGATTGTCCCATTCCTGTTGCAACGCAGCAGCAAGTTCTTGGACATTGGCAGGACGTTGTTGACGTTGACGTAACCTCTGTCCAAGCATGTCCCAGACATGCTCGATGGGGGAGAGGTCGGGACTCAGTGCTGGCCAAGGTAATGTGGTGATGTTCTGTTGTTGCAGGTAACCTGTAACGATCCTGGCCCTGTGACATCTTGCGTTGTCATCCTGGAAGATGAAACGGCGGCCATGACGTCGTGCGAACGGCACAACATGGACTGCCAAGATGTTGTCCCGGTAGTACTGGCCTGTAACACGCCCTGCAACAACATGTAAAGCCGTTCTTCCAGCAACAGTGATGCCTCCCCACACCATAACAGAACCACCCCCAAATCGATCATGTCTGATGACGTTAACGTCTTGGAAGCGCTCGTTTCGACGACGCCACACCCTCCTACGTCTGTCCAAAAAATCAACAGTGAACCTTGACTCATCTGAAAACATCACATTGCTCCAGCGTCGATTATCCCAGTGTTGACGATCCCTACACCAACGACGTCTTGCCTGAATGTGATGATCTCTCAAACAAGGGATCACGCGAGGACGTCGGGCGCGAAGGTGACCACTATGCAGTCGATTCCGAATCGTCTGGCCACTCACTCTCACACCAGTGTCTGTTTGAAGACGAGCGCTGATCTGATTTGCTGTGATGACACGATTTCTCAAGGCCAAGGTACGGATAAATCGATCCTGGGCTTGAGTTGTCGCCCTTGGTCGACCTGAGCGTGGTCTGTCCTGTACAGATTGTGTATCACGGTATCTGGACCATAGCCTGCTTATGACAGACTGAGAAACATTCATCGTCCGCGCCACAACCGCCTGTGTTGTGCCGATCTGTAGCATGCCAAGGGCACGTAACCTTTCATTTTGGGTAAGCCGACGCATATCAAAATTTGTTTTCTGGTCACTAAAACAATTAAACTGATGTTTCCACCCTGGAATTCAATGCCACAATGACTGTAACATTCAAAGTCAGAGTCGTGCAAATCTTGGGTTGGACCCCCATGATGATCCCAAGCATCACCTGCATTCCATGCGGTAGCTATTGGTGCGTTTGGGCGTCACATGTAACTGGAAATGTTTCTTCTGTTAGGTTCTATAGTGACTTTTTTCGTAGTCATTTGCATATTTTAGTATTATGCCCCCAAAATCAAATATCCCCTACTTTTTTTGAATAGTATATATACGACTGTTTAAGTTGTTTGTTGCTGTGCATTGTCCGCAGGTTTATCTTATTGGTTTTGTTTGTGTGTAGTGTGGTCCTCCTTGACTTACTGATATACTAGTCTTTATGGGAGATGCTAATTGTAGGCCAGTCCGGGATTTTCCAAAGTCAACAATAGCCGCTTTATATAAATGAGTATTTTGGGGGATACTAACCCTAACCCTAAACCCTTTTAGAAGCTGAACTCGGATCCAATGCACCTTTCACCTATACATGTTTTCATTTATATAAAGTGGACTCCGGAAATTCCCCAACCTCCCAACAATTAGCATCTCCCAATCTTTATATACATAGTTTCCAACCTCGGGTCGCGGAGCACTTTTCGCGGGGTCGTGGTGAACTTCTCTGAAACTTTTGAAAAAATGCTATGTTTACATGAAAAACATTTAAATCTCTGATCTATACATCTCTTGCCACATCGTCTTTCCTCTCTCACGCTCACGATTTGATTCCTCAGACTCTCATTACAACATTTTGATCTGTAAAGAATGATGATGTTCCATAGCAAATGGTGACTTTGTTCTTCGAGGGGTCGGGATTTAAAGATGGTTTCTCGAATGTGGTCGCGATCAGATGATGGATTCTGGAATGGCGTCGCAACCAACAAAAGGTTGGGAACCACTGCCTTATATATAAAACTGGGGATTCAGCGCCATATATTTTTATATATATAATCTCCGTAGTAATTTATATATGTTTACATGAATGTACTAAGTGAGCAAGACGCTAGCTCACTATCCTTAAAGTCGCGGGTTCGATCCAGGTGTTGGCCGACAAATTTCATCCGGATTTATCCTAGTCAGTGGTGCAAGACGGAGAGCATGGCAAGGACAGATGTCTAGTCGTTCGGATGGAACGACAAACTGAGACCCCGTGTACACATTGGCGTACACGTAAAAGATCCCTTGGCAGTTCGAATTCAATTTAAGAGTAGGTCGTAGCGCCGCTGTCCGGGCAAAAGTTTCCTCATAGCACACTGTATAGCGTATGTCCATCTTCATCAGCTCAGTCGGAGCAGAACAGTGGACGTTAAACCCCATTTCATTTCATTTTACATGAATTTTCGACGTTTTAACCCTAACAAGTTAGCCCCAGTTTATTCTTATCAGATTATTTCACATAAAATCCAATCAAACAAGATTTGAGAAACTTAAAAGGCTTTAATAAGATAATAAAATACACAACATACATAACACAGGGAGGTTGCCTAGGTAGGGCTTAATAAGGGAGGTTGCCTAGGTAAGGTTAAATAAGGGAGGTTGCCTAGGTAAAGTTAATTCAGGGAGGTTTTCTAGATAAGGCTTAGTCAGGAAGGTGGTCTAGATAGGGCTTAAAAAGGGCGGTTTTCTAGGTTTAAATCATGGAGGATAGTCAAGGTAGGGTTAAATCAGGGACGTAGAATGAAGGGAGTAGAAACTCCTTAAGTCGGCCCTTTCTCCTCTAAAGACATTTTTCACTTCCTAAAGTGACTGCGTTTCAACGTGTACGCTTTAAATTTTCTGGGAGCCACGATGACTTAGCGAGTAAGCCTCGGGTTCCATCCCGTTGTAGCTCGAGAAAGTTTCTCGGAGTTTTCTGACGGGGTGTCCACGTGTCACCGATGCTGGATGGAGGGACTGGAACCAATACTCGAGGTCTCGTGCAGGTTAGCGTACGCGTAAAAGAACCCTTGGACAGCTGAAATTTGATATGAAGAGTAGGCCGATGTCCGGGCAAAAATGCTCCTAATAGCATGCCCCTCATCTTAAAGTATTTGCAGACTCCCAAGAGGGTCATCAATGGAGAACGAGGCCTTCAAATTCTTATCACAGCTTCTCATTCCTTCATTGATACTCCTAGAGCTAAAACTTAATACAAAACTCACAAAGGAAAAATAATCCCAGCAAGCATGTTAATTTAATAGTTAGAGGGTGAAAGTTTATAAAATTAAATTAATACATAAGACTGTGTGGCCTCGACACAGAGACGCAGTTAATATACAACATAAAGGTAGGGTATAATTATCTTGGTAAATTACATGCCCACCTATAACGTTAAAAGACTAGCAAGCCATTAAGGGATCGACTCCCTGCTATCGTCGTCTGCAGAAAGCTGTCGTATTAATTAATAATGTATTTTTAATGTATTTTTAAAACTCCTGTTAAACATTGAACATGTAAACATCGTTTACATTTAATTAGGTTTCAAATTTTAAAATCACAAATGAAATGGGGTTTAACGTCCTTTACAAACCGGAATAAATTAGTTTAGATAGTCGAGGTAATGAGTTGAATTTGTGTATTAGATGCTAGTCGTTCGAATGGGGTGAAAAACCGATACACGTGAAATAACACCTGAAAGTTGGAATTCGATATAACAGTAGGCCATAGTGTCTCATAGCACACTGTAAGACATATGCCCGTCTTCATTATCCCATTCAGAGCAGAAAAGTAGGACGTTAAACCCCATTTTATTTAATAGCTACACCAGAGAGACAGAGAGAGTTTTAACTAGGTCATTTCGGGACTAACATAAGGAGCGCGTAGGGGTCTTTGCTATAGGAGGAAACCAGAGGACCCGGAGAAAACCCACGAGCCTGGACTGGTGACGCTACTTGACCCAATGACAGACCTTGTGATCTAACGAACAAAATCACACACAGATTTTTTCTGTTACATTCATTGAAATAATGTCGAACAAGCAAAAAAAACACGCAAAGCATTGCCACCGTTTTGGTCTCACTCCACTCTAATCCATTCAACAGACATATTATTGTCTAAGAGCTTCTGATTTTATAAAATTCTCTCCAGACTTCACGCCATGCTTGACGGTGGCTCCACGATGCCCCCCCCCCCTCAAATGCCACATGCGCAAATTCATGACCACGCCCCTATCACATTGTTCCACGACTACACAAATACCACAATTATACAACAATATATACAGAACAAAACCAAAACACAGTAACGTACATATATAAAGTTGGGCGAGGTATCACCAACACAACCGTTCTTTAAAAAAGGAAATCCAACGTTTTCTTCATGGCGTCATTTCGGTTCTTTAATATATTAATGCAACATTTGCTTCGTGACTTTTTTTCGGTTATTTGAAATAAAAAATCCAACATTTGCTTCATAACGTCATTTCTTTTCTTTAAAATATCAAATCCAACATTTACTTCATGACGTCATTTCGGTCTTTTAAACTAGTTTGTTGATGACATTATTTATCCATACCCGTTGCCATAGCCACAATATTCACAGGAACACTTGAGTATATATCTGTATGTCGCGAACACCCGTTCCCTATTTTTACACTTTAAAGATACCGCTTTCATAATTGATAAATTATCTCGACAACACGAACAGGAATACTTGAAGGGGCGATATAAGATTGGTGAGAATGAAACTCTGGGTAAAGTTTTCGATTTATTACAATGTCCTTCACACCTGGCTAACAAAACATTCTGAAAAATAAATAAGTAAAAACTATAATTATTATAAGACGGTTATATCAAGTGGTTTATCAATATGGGCGATTAATGTCACGTACGATACAAAACTTTAATGGTATATCATTTCAAGGGAGCCACGGTGGCTCGGTGAGTAGGAGATTGGCGAGCTAATCTGGAGGTCGTGCGGTGTACACGGGACCTCGTTTTTTTCGTCCTATCCAAACGACTATACTTTATCTCTTGCCAGGCCTGCTGTCCTCCACCCCATTGCAACAAGGGGAAACCACGCCGGAAAATCCCGATGAACTTTCTAGACCAACACCGAGATCGAACGCGAGATCTCCAGGTTAACGGGTCAACCTTTTTCTGCACACTGAGCCACCCGTTTATAGAATATCGTTGCCCGGGCAAAATTACTCTACTCTGTATTGGCCCCATTAAAAAGTTGGAAGTAAAACTCCATTTGAGTGATTCATTCGTTCCCGACTTACACCCATCGTAGCTTAAAGCTGTTCCAACTAACTTTAAAGGAGCTAAATCGCTATTCTTTGGCACCTAGAAATGGACACAAATGAGCCGCAACGCATATAATAATGTAATATGAATGTATATCAACTGATTTACATTCAATCGTTACTGTTTTTACTGTAATTTCCAATCAGTTATGTTCGGCGAAATACGCGAAGAGTCCGAATTGAATGGCAGTCTTTGGTGTCTGGTTATTCCAGTCTACACCGGTAGTATTCTCCTACCAGGGATATGTTTAGCCTCGTTGATCGAATCGCTTGATACAAATGGCGCCCGAAAACATTCTGACACGCGATTCGTGTGCCAATTTTAAAATTTCATTTTGTCTTAAGTATTGGATATCAGAAGCCCAACTCTTCACGGAAAGATAACAACATCAATGTTGATTTAAACTGACCAATAAGTCGTGTTTGGACTGCCGAAGACTGTGGATGATACTGCGTTAAAGACTTGGCGCCTTTAAGCCATAGACATTGATATTTACAGCAAACGGAAGCTGTAGTTTGTCCCATTTCCTCCCACACACGCATTTACGTTCTGTGTACTTTAAACGACGATGTATACAATCCGATTATAGAATATCAAAAGGCATTTGAAGAATTCCTATTTGCATATTTTGCCAGATCTTGGAGACTATTTTCGTTAGCCAGCTATTTTGTTTATGTGGTTTTTAAATCAAACAATTTACATAATAAAATGTATATCTTGGTTTCATCTCCGACATGGTCTATAATAAAATACATTTAGATGTATGGATTGCCATATAAACCAAACTATAAGACTTTCTACACAGTTCTGTTGTTTTTGTCGGGTATGATATACAACTAAATATAAAACTACGTCAGCAAATGAATGAAATACCAGAAGAAGGGGTGGAACCACAGGTCGTACATCTTGATCGTTCTAACCATAATATCGTTACGTCGAATCAGATCGACTTTCAATTGAATAAACAATTATTTAATTAAAATCGGTTGATGTCGACTCCAATAACTGCTTGGAAAGGCGGAAATCATTTGCGTATAGCGCTATGGCTTCATGGAAAGACGACAGTAAGTTGCCTATAGCGCTGTGGCTCCTTGGCAAGACAATTAGTCACCTATGGCCCCTTAGGTGTCTAACAAGACGATATAGCCCGTCCCCATCTAAAACAAGAGATTACAAGCCATATAGACCCCATCTAAAACTGGGGATTCCACGTCATGTAGACAGACCCCATCTAAAACTGGGGATTCAGCTCTATATAGACAGACTCCATCTAAAACTGGGGATTCCACTCCATATAGACAGATCTCATCTAAAACTGGTGATTCCTTTCCATATAGACAGACCGCATCTAAAACTGGGGATTCCACTCCATATAGACAAACCTCATCTAAAATTGGGGATTCCACTCCATATTGACAGACCTCATCTAAAACTGGGGATTCAGCTCCATATAGACAGACCTCATCTAAAATTGGGGATTCCACTCCATATAGACAGACCACATCTAAAACTGGGGATTCCACTCCATATAGACAGACCTCATCTAAAACTGGGGATTCCACTCCATATAGACAGACCTCATCTAAAACTGGGGATTCCACTCCATATAGACAAACCTCATCTAAGGTATCAATACAAACGAATAACCCCACTCGGCAAACCTCGGCAGATTCCGTTACTCTACATCTAGCCTCGGCTGTATGATGGTAAGTGATATGTACCTTCGCCTATACAATTTCGTTGCGACACCGGTTTACTTATTAGGAAAACCTGCCGCTTTTAAAAATAAGTCATCAAAATTGCGTCGTTCGAAGCGTGTGTAGAATATTTAGCCCAAAGTTCGTTTGAAGAAAAGTAGTTCCAATGGCGGACTTTGTCATACAGCCGAGGCTAGATGTAGGGTACCGGTACTGAAATCTGCTGAGGTTTGCCGAGTGCGAATAACCCGTGCAATTATAAATTAAATGTCCGCGTCAAAATCCATCTGTGTCATAATTTTGTTACTCTATCGGCGAGAATTGAGCACGTGAGTGGGTATACCGAGATCTATCCGCGGGTTTGAACACATGTGTTGAAATTTTGTGATGGTCCATTTCAGTATCCCTACATTAAATTCGTTCGGCGCGAAATAATTAAAAGATAAGTTAATTATGCATGGACATAAGAATTAAAATCAGTTGGCCAAATAATATTCTATCCAGGTACAAGTATAGCTAGCAGTAAGAACAGTTCTGTCATTGAGGCATTCTACACACAGAGACCTGTCTACTTTGAGAGTAGATCTCTGCACTGAATGGCCGCCATATTGAGAACAAGTATGATCGTATTATGGACCAGGAACTGACCATGATGTTGGATGAGATTAAAAAATCTAATTCACCAAATCGATGCAGAGTTGTTCAAAGATCACGCATGCCAATTTTCATGTCGACCGGACTTGAACTGACGGAGCCTTGGGCTTTTTCGAAGAGCGTCACCCCAAGAACAAGAAGACCAAGATGAGTAGCGGTTAGTAACCAGTTTCTGGTCAAAAAATTAATATACCATGTTGTTATGTTGTTCTAAACCGTTTTACACCTTTCATACAGACAAAGGCTAAATAAATATTTTCAATTATTCATTGAATATAAAAATGAAAGCGAAGGCAAAACGTCTCAAAATCAACGAAGTATACTTAGTGTTTTCGACTAAAATAGTCGTTGTCGGAGTTAAAATGTCCGTCAACTAGCTCAGTGTCTGTTTTCAAGTTTCGTATGTATTTGAGGATAATTAAATAAGCATATTTGATAATTGTTGAAAGTTAACTAATTCGTCGGTTATTATTATATTTTGGGGGTCGAACTCATATCATGAAATGTGCGCCCTGTATTCTAAAGCATAAGATTTCGGTTAGGTCTACATGTAGGCCTATATTTGAAGAACCTCCCAAATGAATACATGTGCATGCATGCTGAGTAGTGTGCACCATGCTTTAAAGTCGGTTACGGGGATTTTATCAGGTAAAGCCAGGATGAATCTGGCGAAACACGTGTTTGTTTGTTTACAAATATTTCTTTTCATCAGTAAGATTAGTAGATATAAAGTCAACTGGGATATTTGGGGCCATGCACGTGCATGTGCGATTCTCGATGTTAGTCATAGAAGAGGTTGTTAAGATGTGGAATTTAGTCGGATATTCTCCTGGGAATCCGGGTACCAGATCTTAGAGGCGTACCAGATGTGACGATAAACACATATGAATTGCTTTAAGAAGCCAAACGAATGCTAAGAATTCATCCTCCCACAGTTTAATGGCTAACAGCGCCGTCTACGATTCCCGATATTCCCACAGGGACAGCAACTCTCGCCAACAGTACACACCCGAAACAAACGTCATCAACACGGGCAACACTCTAATTGTAATTTGTCATAGACTTGTAAACATTGTAAATGAAACTGGATCTAACGTCCTAGTTGTCTGCACCAACCAGGCGAATAAGGGACATTTTGCCCGGACAGCGGCGTCTCCACCTACTTTTCATCGAATTCCAACTGCCAAGGCCTCTTATACGTGCATGTCTGTTTTCTGGAGCGTCTACAAGCCACCACTTTCAGGGGGAGACTATTCGTGCCGCCACCCCCTACTGGAAACTCCAATAGTAGACGGTGGCAGACCACCATTAATTTCACCATTGACTTCAATGTTAATTCTGGCCTCTTTGCCCAACTTTTCCCCAAATTTTCGTTGGGCTGAATGCTTTTCACTACAGAGAGAGGAACAAATGGTCATGTCTTTGCACTAAAATTTTTATGAGATTGACCACCAATATTTTGAGATACACAAACTTGAAGAAGCATTCTAAAAACATGTAACTAGTTGCCGTACATATCACCCAGTTATCCTTCCGCCTCAAAATCATGAATATTTATAAAAACCTGGCAGAAAATGTTAATTTAACCCCACTTTGTTCATTCTAGACCAAAAATCAACAAAAATGGGCATGCAAAAGGAGAGAAAAGAGACAGAGGGAGAATTGCTATAAATAGACGAATTACAATGGTGAAAATTAATGGTGGTCTGCTTCCAGACAACTCTGATCCCGCCAATACAATATACCACAATTGACCAGTTTTATTGTTCAATGTTACAATTATCTCCGTGATTAACCACAGACTGTAAAATGGTTTCTTATCGATGATGAAGTTGATTGAATGACGACAAGATAAGACAGAACCTCCCATAAATTACACACATTAACATCGTCTTACTTGACTTTACCAAGAATTATTACTATTGTATGTCTTAGACTCTAATCGCGAGCTCGTTTGTGTCTAGTCGTTCGGAATAAACGATAACTCAGAATTTCATTCTGCATTGGAAATGTAATGGAATGGAATGAGATGAGATGGGGTTTTATTTGATGTCTTTTCATTCGTAACCACCATTATTAGACAAACATATGGTAGTTTTTATTTCTATGATATCCTGGCTTTAGCAAGAATTATTACTACTTTATATGCACAACTCTAATTTCGTACTCGTTTGTGTCTAGTCGTTCGGAATGAACGATAAACTCGAATTTCATACTACTTTGGGGGTGTAATGGAATGGGAATCTCGTAATTTTTTAGTTTTCATTTCTATGGTTTCCTGACTTTTTTTATGTGCCAGGCTCTAATCTCGTGTTCGTTTGTATCTAGTCGGTCAGAATGAACGATAATTCCGAATTTCTTTCTACTTTATGTGCACGTCTCTAATCTCTAGCTCGATTGTGTCTAATCCTTCGGAATAAACGATAAATCCGAATTTCTTTCTACTTTATGTGTCAGACTCTAATATCGTGGTCATTTCGGGACTAACATAAGGTTCAATTTTATTTCAATAATTCGCTTGCGCGTAGGGGTCTTTAGCAATGGGAGGAAACCTGAGGATCCGGAGAAAACCCACGAAGTTGGACAGGCGACCCTACTCCTTGTCAAAAGGGGAATTGAAACCACGCCAGTTGACTCAATGACAGACCTTATCATACAGCGCGCACGTGCTAACCATTCAGCCATCCACACGTCCCCCCCCCGGTTAAATGTACAATATGGTGGTATAATATAATGTAATGGCGAAATAATGTAATATACTAACTCTCTGTTCACAGTCTTTACTGGGATGTCTGATAGTTTCAACAAAATAATGTCTCATACATCGATTTTCTCTTCTTATTGGTGTAACGCCCCTCCAGCACCCCATACACAATATAGTTAACAACACCCGTATCACAGAAACCAATAAACATCCCCGCATTTTACTACTCTTCTAAACCTGAAATAAATGCATGTTCCGTTAAAGATACATTATGTAAGATTTAGATAAAGAGCTGGTCGTTTTTGTTATAATAGTAGAAAAATAGACAATGCAAAATGAATATATTGAAAATTTTATTCAAATTACGTTATTCTGAGCCATGTTATCACTGTAGTTTTGACAAGATGTGTGCATTGGTTTCTTATTATCGTAACCACGGTACTGGTATATTCGAGTCTTAGCCTTGCTTCTCCATTTTATATTAAATCATTAAATGGCCGAACCGTTTTAATCTAGTTAAAATCACGCATACGATAGCATCGAGAGCTGATTATTGTCTTGTCATGTTAATAATAATTATTAATTATTAATAATTATTGTCTAATCATATGTAAGGCCTAAAGAAGGACTTGCAATAGGAAGATTATTTAGCTCTAATTTATCTTTAACAGCATACAATATTACAGTCCCTGTCGCGGTTTGACTCGGTAACGGGCGTCGCGACCAGATACCCGGTGTTGCGGTTTGACTCGGAACCAGTTGTTGCGACTCGATACTCAGTGTTGCGGTTTGACTAGGAACCAGTTGTTGCGACTCGATACTCGTGTCGCGGTTTGACTCCGAACTAGTTTGTCGCGGTTTGACCCAGTACCCGGTGTACTCGAGACCAGGTATCGTGGTTTGACTCTATACCAGGTGTCGTGGTTTGCCTAAGTACCCGGTGTCGCGGTTTGACTCGATACCAGGTGTCGCGGTTTGCCTAAGTACCCGGTGTCGCGGTTTGACTGGATACCAGGTGTCGCGGTTTGCCTAAGTATCCGGTGTCGCGGTTTGACTCGATACCAGGTGTCATGGTTTGACTAAGTACCCGGTGTCGCGGTTTGACTCGATACCAGGTGTCGCGGTTTGCCTAAGTACCCGGTGTCGCGGTTTGACTCGATACCAGGTGTCATGGTTTGACTAAGTACCCGGTGTCGCGGTTTGACTCGATACCTAGTGTCGCGGTTTGCCTAAGTACCCGGTGTCGCGGTTTGACTCGATACCAGGTGTCATGGTTTGAATAAGTACCCGGTGTCGCGGTTTGACTTGATACCAGGTGTCGTGGTTTGACTAGAACTAGTTGTCGAGGTTTAACTCGGTGTCGTGGTTTGACTTGCTACCTCAATATCTGGTGTCGCTGTTTGAATAGGTACCCGGTGTCCTGTTTGATACGGTTCTTGCGCATGGTAATCGAGATAGGTGTTTATGTAACTTTTCGTTTTACGGTGCCTATTTCATAATTACAGATAATTGATTTACCTAGAAACTGTAATTTAGGCGCATTATCAAAAGAATTAAACTATTTATTATTGATACGTAACAACAAATTATTAAATATTAGTATTAAATTTTCATTTGTTATATATATATAAAAAGGACTCGGTAGGCCTTATAATACATAATTATAAATTATATATAAATAAATAGCACATATAAAACGGAACTCAATAAGCGTAATAATCAGTGCCGAATTACGCACATTTTGATAGGTGACCCGAAAATAAAGTTAAATTTAAAGTAGCTAAGTCTCTAACTTAATATCATCTAAAGTTTTCGACATTGAAAACAAGAATTATTTGCCAATTTAAATCGACATTGATGTTGTAATCTTACCGGGAAAAGATTGGCTTCTGATATCCAATATTTAAGACAAAATAGACATATTCCACAAGTCCTGTCAAACGGTGACTCCATATTCTTATCTGGAGAGCATGTGCGATAAATACTATCGGTATAGACTGGAATAACCAGACGCTACAGATTGCCATTCTGTCAAGAGAACTGACGTATTTAGAAATTACAGTAAAAATAGAAACGATTGAATGTAAACCAGTTTATATTCATTCATATATGCGCCGCGGCCCATTTGTGTCAATTTCTAGGTCCAGAACATTAGCGATTTAGCTCCTTTAACAACAGAAAATTTATTACAAAAAAATTCAGAACGAATTATTTTTGACAGTTCTGTACTATAAGATTACAGTAGCCAGATTGGACGTTTGTAAGAATCAATAAGTTTGTAGATGATTATAAAATAGTATGTTATATAAAACATATTAATAACAATATTGCTACTTACCCTTCTGTATGGCAGAAACGTATTAACGACCAAATGACGTCATTGTTTTAAAACCTATCAGTGCTATTAATAGCCTTTACGTCGTTTGGTAATTTTTAAAATAAATATTAGTTTTTTAAACTGTACGCTAACACGAGATACAGATGTAATCCTAGTTTAAACACACAAAATCAATGAAAAAAGGTTCACTTTGGTAACTGACCAAGGTTCCTCTCGATTTAAAATGTTTCCTTCGTTTCTATTTAGCAACAAACCCAGGATTCTCTAGATTTAAAATGTTCCCTCGTTTCAATAAATATTTTTCACTTTTAGAATAGTCCAAGGCTTCCTCTCGATTATAGATACTTTCCTCGTTTCATTAAACACGTTTTTTTATTTTCGGAACAGACCTAGGATTCCTCCAGATTTATAATATTTCAATCGTTTCAATAAATATTTTTCACTTTGGGAACTGACTAAGGCTTCTTCTCGATTATAAATATTTCCGATGTTATATAATAAATAATTGTCACTTCGATAACTCACCGGGACTTCCTCTCAATTTAAAATATGTCCCTTGTTTCAATAAACATTTGTTCATTTTTAGAACAGACCAAGGCTTGCTCTTGATTATGAATATTTTCCTCGTTTCATTAAACACTTTTTATTATTTTCGGGACAGACCCAGGATTCCTCTCGATTTAAAATATCTCCCTCGTTTCAGCAAACAATTTTCACTTTTAATAAGCACAAAGAATTCCTCTGGATTTAAAATTCCACTTTTCTTCAATATGTTCTTAATCAAAATTCAGTCAGAAACATTAATTTAAGACGCAGAGCATTTTGTTCTACATTTGTTTCAGCACGTCAAAATAGGTGAAACATTTTTTATTTTTAAGTTTCGGTGAATATTTCCTTAGAATAATTTTCGTCGTTTTCAACAAATTTCTGGTGTTAGTTTTGTCACTCACGAGACTTTATTCTCCACGACGTATAATTAACATATTCCATGTTTGGTCACCAGATTTGTATCGTCGGCCCACCACATAACTTATTTTCCCGCGAGATTTGGAAACAGGGCGTTCCATGTACTTATGCCATACTTAGACACAGAATATTTCCGGGATTACCAGTCATGTATTCTACTTTTATCCTGAAAACAAAGTTATATATTCCTGAAAATGGCACTTATTATCACAAAAATACCCTTCAAATCCACCAGTATAACATAATGAACTTTAAAAAAACCGCACCTTTAAGAGAATTCTTGATCTTAATACGATTTGGTTTTACAAGAAAATATTAAAATTTCCGGAATTCCCATTTAAATTTTCAATTCCTTTTAAAACTCAACCATAAGATGTTTCGAGTTCTGTTTATAACGAAGTTTATGTAAGTAACATATACGCTATGGGATAAGTAGCTCATTTTAAGGAAATTAATTTAAAGTTCCGATTTCTTTCAAGATATGATGCCATGCCCATTATATTTGTACAATGTTCTGTCTAAAACATGGATTCTATTATTTTCCTTATTGCATTTCGCGTGTTTGAAAAGAGCACTTAATAGAAGAACCATTAATTCCAAAACACCACTTCAGGAACATGAAACAAACGCTTTACCCGTATGCCACACAAGTTCGTAAGTTTCTACACAGTTATAAAAAATATTTATGCTCCAGATTTTGTATACAAAGAAGACGGCGTTACAGAGTTCCGCTGGTTTAAGTCGTGGATATAATTGTGTGTATCAAGCGCCTCTCTTATCTACTATAAAATTACTAACAGGCGTAAACACGATCACCCCACACGCGCCACGCATCTTTTTGATCATTCTATGGAACTCACACACGTGCCTGTAATTAGACGTTTGCTTGTTTAGAATGGCGGGAGATTTTATAAGCTGTAAACTGGAGTTAAAACGTTTGAAGATGTTTTATAAAGTTTTAGGAATTTGTTATAGTTGGACGAGCCATCTTTATTTCTAGCTATCAATTTATAATAATACGTCTGTTACAACATATGTTGTAAGTTACAAAACTTTTTGTGAATAGGCTTATATACATGCCTAAGAGTTCTCGATAGAACTTTCTAAAACTCGGGGATATTGTTCACTGGGTATGAGGCAGAAACCTATCGATTTTCAGAATATTTGTGGATCGTAAATTGAGTACTCAAGTTTTCTGGAGTAAATCTTATTTTCTTTTATTGGGGTTAACTTCCTACTCTCTGCACCGACTGGGATAATGTTGCAACTTACAAAACTTATTGAATAGGCCTATATAGGCCTCATGGAAGGCTTCAATTGAAATATGCTGAATATATGATTATCTTGTAAACCCGATATTGGTCAAAATTCGCGATAAAATCCGGGAGAGCGCTATGGATATTTGAAATATTTGGATCGTAGCCCTATCGACCTTCAAAATATTTGGATCGTAGCCCAATCGAATTTCAAAATATTTGGATCGTAGCCCTATCGATTTTCAAAATAATCTGGTTCGTAGCCCTACCGATTTTGAAATTTTTTGAATACTATAAATTTTTAAAATATTTGGATCATAACCCAATCGATTTTGAAATTAATCGAATCCTATAGATTTTAAAAATATTTGGATCATAGCCCTATCGATTTTCAAAATATTTTGTTCTTATCGATTTTCAAAATATTTGGATTGTAGAGTTAGTCATATTTTTGAAATTATGGAATGGAAAATTTTAGGCAAAACAGGACCAGGTTCAGATGGAATGTTTAGCCCCCACTCAACACAAAACAGGTCATTTCAGGATCAACATTATATGGTACAATTTCATTTTAATATTTCACCTGCAAGTAGTTGTCTTTAACAGTGGGAGGAAACTGAGGACCCAGGGAAAACCCACAAAGTTAGACAGGTGACCTTATTACCTACAAGTATGGTGACTTTATGATCTGAAAAGCACACATTGGACCAATCGGCCCCACGAAATCGCTTACAACTAGACCAGACAAATAAGGGCATATGCCATACAGAGAGCTATGTGAGAAATTTTGCCCAGATTGTAGTAATACGGGCTGTTCTTAATTCAAAGCTCTTTTTTTTACGTGCACGGCATGTACACAGGACCTTGTTTTTTTTGTCCAACCCCGCGACGAATGAAATAAATATCTATCAACCTTAAAAGATTTAATTTTATAAACAACCTTTATTTATACACCAAATAGGTTATGTGTGTTCAATTATACATTTATTTAAAATACAATAATTATTTATCCTCAGCATTATCATAAAAAACATTAAAAAACATAAAAAAAACCATAAAAAAACCCCTAAAACACCATGATATCATAATTTCTTTTTCACTTAACAACAAAAACAATATGTTATCACTTATTTGACTCCCCTCCCAATCTTCCTGTCACAACCATAGAGAGGAGGATACAAGGTTGTTTTAAAAACAATATACCAAAGCCAAGTATGATGACCTATGTTTAAGAGAGAGAGAGAGAGAGAGAGAGAGAGGGTTTAAGTCCACTCAACACAAACTAGGTCATTTTGGGACTAAGATGGTTCAATTTTATTTCACTAATTCGCTTGCGTGTAGGGGTCTTTAGCAGCAGGAGGAAGCTGGAGCACCCAGAGAAAACCCCCCAGGTTGGGCACGTGACCCTACTCCTTGTCATGTACAACCGAAGAATCGAAACCACCCTAGTTGACTCAATGACGCGCCAACCATTTACCCCCCCCTCCTCCTCCTATGTTTAAGACTACTGTAATAAAGGCTTATACACCTTCTGGGGAGGCCTTCTAGATCTTGAGGCTCTAGGCTTCAGTCTGACACTGGTTGCGAGGTAAGGTGGTCTACTGGTTTAATGCGTGCATGAGAAATCACATGATCTCTCATTGAGTCAATTGTCGTGGTTTCGATTCCCAGCTTGTATGCAAGTTTTCTCTTTGTCCTCCGGATTCCTCCCACTGCTAAAGACCCCTACGCGCAAGCAAATTATAGAAATAGTTTGTATCGAGTGGATGTTACACCCCATTTCTGTTCCTCTCTATCTGACATCGTTTATCAAGTTAAACACAAATTTGCAGAGTTAGAGCTATGATCATGAAGTCTCTAGAGTGGATTATCAAGTCCCCACACACTGCATCTATATATATATATGTTTATTGTCAATGAAGACAAGGGGTATATGACAAGGGAGATAAATCTATATTATTACATCATATAATCTATATGTAGACGTGAAATAAACACATAGCCTACTGTGAAACGAAATGAAATGGATTCTAGTCGATTGATTTGGCCTTATGAGAAAGAAAGAGATAGGGTTTAATGTGCACTCAACACAAACTAGGTCATTTCGGGACTAACATAATATTTAATTTTATTTCAATAATTCGCTTGCGCGTAGGGGTCTTTATTTTGAGAGGAAACCGGAGGATCCGGAGAAAAACCATAAGGTCAGACAGGCGACCCTACTCCTTGTCACGTACAAGCGAGGAATCATAACCACGCTACTTGACTCCATGACAAATCTTATGATGCGATAACCATTCGGCCACCCAACCCCCCTTGTCCTTATGTTATCCTACACATATTAATATCTTATAGACCATGCAGGATAACTGTTCAACAAAACAAAGACAAAACAAACAATACAATTAGCATATATAACATGGCAGAAAAACAAAACCAAATATATATAACAAAAGGGTATATTGAGCATAAATGTCATTTTTCATATTGATGGATAAAATAAAAAAAACAAATTTTTCCATTAATATTGCAACATATTCAAAAAAAATTATTGATGATAATAAAAATATATAAATGAAATAAATGAAAATTATAGTATGTGTAAAACTGTAGGTTTTCATGGTAACTGTAGGTTTTCATGGTAACTGTAGATTTACTTGGTATAAACAGTAGGTTTACAAGGTAACTGTAGGTTTACTTGGTATAAACAGTAGGTTTACAGGGTAGAATTCCAACTTTGTACCATTTCTAAAATGGGTAACTGTAGGTTTACTTGGTACAAACGGTAGGTTTACAGGTTAGAATTCCAACTTTGTACTATATCTAGGACATGTAAAAATGATTTGTAATAGCACAACATCTTTGTTTGAGGTCAAAATACATGTATGTACCGGTGATGAATATAGTTATATATAAATGAAATAAATGAAAATTATAGTATGTGTAAAACTGTAGGTTTTCATGGTAACTGTAGATTTACTTGGTATAAACAGTAGGTTTACAAGGTAACTGTAGGTTTACTTGGTATAAACAGTAGGTTTACAGGGTAGAATTCCAACTTTGTACCATTTCTAAAATGGGTAACTGTAGGTTTACTTGGTACAAACGGTAGGTTTACAGGTTAGAATTCCAACTTTGTACTATATCTAGGACATGTAAAAATGATTTGTAATAGCACAACATCTTTGTTTGAGGTCAAAATACATGTATGTACCGGTGATGAATATAGTTATACTTGAAGGAATGTGGTAAGGTCTAAATAATAAGGCCATCTGCAGATTTGGACAAAGGTCACAGGATGTAAACAGGGTTAGTGCTAACCCTAACCCAGAATCTCGTCAACAATCACATGACCTAACCCTATTTGCATTCCGGAACCTTGACGAAATCTGCAGTTGGACTTAATATTTAGACCTGACAACAAAATGTCAGACATCACTAAACTAGGGTACGTAGTACCTGACATATTTAACTTTGTGCTGGACATGTATTAATAATATCAATAAAAACACAGACAAATCGGTGCCAAAAACAAATGACAGGCACTATAGGATTTGTGTCTGACAAAGCCTAACTTGTGTCTGAGATTGTCCGTGGTAGGTGCCTTATTTCAAGCCTTGTTAGAGATTAAGTGGAGGTCAAGGTCCGTATTCAAAGAATAAAAATACTTATTTTTCCACTTAACTAAGTGTGTTACCTTAAATCGGTATTCAAAGGCTGTGTTAGATCTCCTTGGCTATGTGAAAACCTCAACTGTACACTTAAATTATGGAATACCTGCAATTGCCAAAAAGAATGAATTTCTAACTTATGGAGAGAGAGAGAGAAATGGGGTTTATAGTCCACTCGACACAAACTAGGTCATTTCGGGACTAACATATGGTTTCATTTTATTTCAATAATTCGCTTGCGCGTAGGGGTCTTTAGCAGTGGGAAGAAACCGGAGAAAACCCACGAGGTTGGACAGGCGACCCTACTCCTTGCCACGTACAACCGGTGATTCGAAACCACGCCAGTCGACTCAATGACAGACTGTATGATACAGCGCGTGCACGCTAACCATTCAGCCATCCAACCCCCCCTTCTAACTTATGGAATACCCGCTTCTGCCAAAATCATGTATTTCTAACTTCACAAACAAGTTGTGTCCCGTTAAGAGCCCCACAAAACTCATACTAAACTAATCTACAATTAGCTCCCGCTAAGCTAGTTGGCCAATATTTTAATTCCTAAATGAACACTTTCGAAAACTCTTAAGTATAATTTTAAGAAATATTCATTCCACTTCAATTTAATATCATTGAAACGGTTTATTTAGTCTTTGTGTGTATGGCAGACAGGCCTGGAAATAACAGTTTTAAATGAACCTGACAAAATGTCAGGCACTAATGAAATGGTACCTCACATTTTCAACTTAGTGCTGGACATGTATTAATAATATCAATAGAAAACAAAAATCAGTGCCAGACAAAATGACAGGCACCAGAGGTTTTGTGTCTGACAAAGCCTGAATCTGTGCCTGACATTGTCTGTGACAGGTGCGTTATTTCCAGGCTTGATGGCAGATATGAAATGGAGTAGAACCACATTACAAAATAGTATACCATTTTTGAGATATCGCGGCCATTTAGGGCAGAGATCTATTCTTGAAGAAGATAGTTGGCTGTGTTAGAATGCACTATACTCTATTAAAATCAAAGTGGTCATTACTATGAAAATGTTTCTCAAAATATTATATGAAAAAAGTATAACTATAAATAATCATTGTATACATCTTGTTGTTTTCGTAGATTTTTATAAAGTGGATTTTTCTCACTCCAACTGGCCTTTGGATACCGCTAAAAGACTAAACACTTAAAAGTTATGGCAGTTTAACTTAAGGAAAAATCTTATACTTAACATTGCCTTTGAATACCACTTACCCTCAACTTACAGGAAGTTACATATTATATATGTGAAATCTAGTAGCTAAGTGACTATCTTAAGACTTAAGATACCCTTTGAACACGGACCCAGTTCTTTTACTAAATTTAGACTGGCTTTATCAGAGACATACAACTTACAGAAAGACAAATTGGCATCATAAAACAAATCAACATATGAAATTAATTTAGTTGTCTAATCATTAAAAGCTTTACTCAAATAAAAAAAATCGCTTATAGGAAATTCACACTAAATAAAAACTTTGCCTTGAAGTATTATGAACACAAAATCAACACCCACCAATATTATGCAGCATTCGATGAAATAAAATTAAGTAAAATGAATAAAATATAAATAATACAAAAATATCATAGCAATGAAAACTAGCAAATTCTCCAGTCCGAAGATTCGCCAAATAATCAACAGAGCTACCTGGCAGAGGCCAAACCTCATAGCAATGAACACCATCTGATTATCCACTGAGGATCCAGGGGCCTGTTTCATGAAGTTTTAACTAAGATAAAATCCAAATTTTAGTCATTTGATTGGATAATATTAGATTGATTTTAGTGCTTAGCCAATCAAAATTGAAGTATCTACTAAAATTTGAATTTTATTTATAGTTAAGATTTCGAGAAACAGTGTCCAGAGCTACCTGGCAGATGACAAATCTCAAAGCAAAAAATACCAGTTGTCAGTTTACATGTCATAAAATTAAGTATTTCAATGAATTTAAAGCGGCATTAGGTAAGATTAGATAAAGAGCTGTCAGTTCTTGCTATAGCAGTTAAAAAATGGATAATGAAAAGAGAATATTTTGAAAATTTCAGTCAAATTACTTCCCTCTGAGCCAAGGAATCGGAGATATAATCATAGACTAGCCTTGATTGTCACTAATACCATAGTTACGATAATAAACAAAGTCTTGATTATCCATTTTTACTGTAACCGCATCCAGCACAAAATGTACTTGAATCCACTAAATATCTCAGGTATCCAATGGCCTCGAGAGGTAATTATGGTCTTGGTAAGTTAATTAATGTCTAATTAATAATTTAGATAACAGACCTAAAGAAAGACCTGCAATTATAATAGTCAGATTTAGCTCTTGCATAATACATGTTTAACTGTACAATAAAATAAAATACTGTTAATTCTATAGTTTTCATGTGTTAAAAATATACCTAAAAACTGATTTATAAAAAACAGCTGGCAAAAGTTAGATTCCTGGAATTGGAATTCTGATATTTCTTTTCACGCTATCTGATGATATGTCCTCTTGTTACACAGATTGAACACATAAACATCAATACTCAACAGATACTATATGACACTATATACATATCAATACAATAATTTTACAAATAAAATATTAACACATTATTAACATAATACATTGTAATCAACCCTAATAAAATTATAACATATGTAATAAAGTTTTGAAGAAATGCAGTTTTTCAATTTCATTGTTAGATTGGTAGGAAGTCCTAAAATTCTATGTTAAATAATTTCCATTATAAATGTCATTAACTTTAAATAACTTTCAAAATAAAATTATAATTAATTTTAAATAAATTCATTGATAATATCATATGTTAAGTTAATGGATTAATAAATTTCTACCTTAAATAAATTTCTTAATAAATTCATTGATAAAATTTAACGTTAACCCTTTAGCACTTAGACCTTCAGAACTAGGACTTCTTAAACTGCCCCATCATGCGCACAGCTGTCCCACTTGGACTTAGACCTCCCCAAGCCATCTTATTTAGGGCACCTTAGACCATCCCGTCATGTGCACAGCTGTCCTGCCTAGACTGAGATCCCCCAAATGCCATTTACAAAAGGGTTAAATGAATTTCCGAAGATGTTATGTTAAATAAATTCCTTAAAATGTTATGTTATATAAATTTCTTAAAATGTAATGTTAAATAAATTTCTTAAAATGTAATGTTAAATAAATTTCTTAAAAAGTTGTGTTAAATAAATTCCATAAAATGTCATGTTAAATAAATTCTTGAACATAATGTTATGTTAAATAAATTTCTTAATAAAAAGTTACGTTAAATAACTTTCATAAAATGTTATGTTAAATAAATTCCTTAATAAAATGCTATGTTAAATAAATTCCTTCAAAAAATTATACATTAAATAAATTTCTTAATAAATTTAAATTATCTTGGACAAGTGCACAACCTCAATTGTCATGGAAGAGATGAATGACATGAAAAATAAACAAAGCTTAGAATTACTTTGTGTAAAAAAAACCCAACCCTATCCTCACAGGCAAAAAAGGATCGTCCAAAAGGAACATATCGCCAGAACAATTGCCATATGTAAAATTTTATGGCCACAGTTTTATTGCAATTGGCTCAGATAGAAGTTGTTTAACGCCCCCTCGACACAAACTAGGTCATTTTAGGACTGACATAGGGTTAAATTCTATTTCAATAACTCGCTTGGTAATATGGTCTTTAGTGATGGGCGCAAACAGGAGGACCTGAAGAAAACCCAGGAAATTTCACAGGCGACCTAACTCATTCTCACGTACAAGTTCGGAATTGAAACCACGCCACTTTTCTCAATGGCATACCTTATGTTCACACGTCCGAACCCCTTCCACAATAGAAACTTACAAACATATAATATACCTTTAACAATAACCTTGTCCATGCAGTTATTTTAATTATCCACAATTCGGCTACCCATCCCCCTTCAACAATACAAACTTACAAAGATATAATATACCTTTAAAGATGGGTTCCCAGAAAAGTATTTATCGGGTGGTTATTTCCAATAAAAGTATGGCAATTTTGGTATATATGGAAATTAGAGATACCCAATCTTACTAGAAAAATACTGGATTCCCCGCAAAACACTCATGGAGCATATACAGGACAAAACTGTAAGGGTTCCCCTAATCAACAGCCCGACGATTTAGAATTTCTGCACGCGTGATGTCAAAGGTCACACGCGAACATTGAGCGCTTGATGTACAAGTTGATAAACGCTATGAAGAGTTAGACGTACAACACTTTCTGAGATAAAAATGACGGAAAATGCGCGGGTATTTGATAATCCGAGAATTTAATTAGGATTCGATATTTGTAATAAATAGTAAGCGATTAAAGACAACATCGTCTAATGTATGCAATGAATTCTCCTCTGACATCCAAGACGTGACGTAAACATGACCTGGTTTGATAAATTTAATAAATATCGCTAGTCTGATTTTACTTTAGCTCATGAAACTATCAGGTAAGAGTTTATGAAAGAAGTTTTATTATATGGGAAGGGGAACGATAATAAAATGAAATGGGGTTTAACATCCTACAGTTCTGCTCCTGACTGGGCTAATGAAGACGGGAATATGCCATACAGTGTGCTGTGAGGGAAATTTTGACCGGGCACCATGTCAGAGGAAGGGGAACAGTAAACAGAAAATTTATTAAATATAGTTTGTTGATTAGTAGCTTTAAAGTGAGAATAGAAAAAAAAAAAAAAATACTGCATGTCTTTAATATTATGTTATTGCGTGCCCTTTACTGAAACATTGTTTTATAGTAAACACAATACCAACGATGTAAATACGTCTATGTTCGGTTATTTTATTGCACTCTGTATCCCTACTATAGAAGGAATGAAATGAATGGGGTTTAACAGCCTACTAAGTTTATTGTATCTGTTATTATTGTTGAATGTACCTATATACTGTAATTTGTATGCTTGATAACGACTAGTGAAATCTTGTTGTATATAATATAGTATTGTTATCCATAGAACTCTGTTGTGTTGTATTAAGATCAATTGCTAAATGCCATTAAAAGATAAAAACAACCATGGTCAGTCGAATGTGGTGTAAAATAAACACATTCATGACTTTAACCCGTTTTTAACCTCAAGCCATGGGGATTTCCAGCTTTGTTTTTTCTCTTCATAGAACTGTGTTTTGCTTCTTCCTCGTGTTTGCCACCATCTTGTGTCACGTTCGATGAAACTGGATGACAGAAACAGTATTTACGCAAGTCTGGGTATTTCTCTTGAACACATTTTGGTTGATCACCATAGCGATCTATTCTGCTAATTTCTGGCGTGACATTATATCGGTAAGTTTCGTTACGGAAATCCACTTCAACAGTCGCTTCATATATTCCCTTATTTGGTAGAGTTTCTATGGTGATCTGATAATGAGCTTTATCCATGTTAATATCCCTGGTGAAGTTTGCGATTCTCTGATCGTCATCTTGCGAGCTTTTGTATCGTAAAACCTGAAATACACAAGATTATGAAAACAAAACTGACCTAAAGATGCATTATGTATGATTTAGATAAAGAGCTGGCTATAACAGTTCAAAAATAAATAATAAAAAAAATAAATATATTGAAAATTTCAGTCAAATTACTTTATGCCGTGCGATGTATGAGTGTATGAATGGCCGATTGCCAAGTACTTGGTATGATAATAAACAATGTTTTGACAGGGTCTGATTAAGCATGCATGGGGCATCAACAGTGAAAAGAGGGTAATTGTCAGTATGGTAGATAGGTTTATTTGGCCCAGTCATATACAATATAATAAATGACATGTTTATTTATGGTAACAAACTTTTTAGAGCTAATTTTGGGTTCCCTTTAATATCAGTCTCGATTGTCAGTCCTTTTATTGAGTGACATCCATTTTAATGATAAGCGATTACATTTTAGGGGGTCTTTAGCATTGCAGTGGGATGAAACCCACAAGGTTAGGAAGGTGACCCCTTGTCGCTTACAAGATGGGGTTTGAAAGCATGCCATGACATATCTTATGATCTAAAGCGTATGTGCTAGACTACTTCCCCCCATGTACAAGATGGTGTTTGAAAGCACACCACGGCAGACCTTATATCTGTATGTATTAGACCAACTCCTCCGCACGCCCATCCCATCCTGCCCCCCTCCCCCCCCCCAAAAAAGAAAGCACATTAATACCTGTTCATTTGGAATGACTAACATAGCCGTCAACACTTCTTTTAGTCTTAATACAGCACAATAATGTCTTTGTTTCTGAGTATAATTGTTTATATACGACACCAATGCCTTGGCCGAAATCCTTGCAAATTTATCATTAGATGGAATACGAACTTGCGTTAGACAGGCACACCAATGTGTATCAATCCCTGCTGATTCACACGATCGATTTAACGGAACTTCTTTCAATAAACTCATGGATTTATCCCCAGGTTGAGACTGGACGCCAATTCTACTATAGTCTAGAACATCTAGCAAAGTTTCATGAACATCAAAAGGTGTGGACAAGCGATTGGCATTTTTGCGTAAGTTATGAATTGCATTTGGAAATTTGTCTTCGAACCAAGGCGGGAATCTGAAGGTCATCATGGGCAGACGTTCCTCCAGTTTACCCTGAACTGTGTTACGGACGGTACTATATCGTGCTCCGTGATCTCCCATTAAAATTAACAACGTATTATCTAAAAACCCTTTGACATTTAAAAATCGTAGAAAATCTGTCAGTTCCTCGTCAATATATTCCACAGGGTTATTGTTCCAGTGTGACAACTCACTTTGAAATCCGAACGCAAATTTCGACACATTGTGGTATTTCACAAAAAAATCTTTTAAATAGTCAAGCATGAAAGTATGATGTGGCATGTTTCCGGTACAGTAACGAGGGCTATTAGAACGAAGCATCGATTCCCAGATCGCGAGCCAGAACTGTCGCATGTAATGATCAGTAGGCTGTTCCTGAAATCCAGTTAAGCGGAGATTAAAGGCCCCTATAGTTGGTTCGTCCTCCGCGAACATTGTAACGTATCCATCATCTTTAAACTTTTTCCAGATTAAAGGATAGACATCCACCATCTCTGATTCCATCTCAGATTTACGAACCTCAGGTAATTCAACTTCAGTTTTTCCTGCAAAAAATCAAAACATATGAAATAGTTAAATATGATTGTTAAAGCCTTCTGAAAGTCTAAACATCTTTCATTATTAGCAATAAAATGAAATTTAACATTTATGCACAGACTGGGCATACGTCATACCGTGTGCTATGAGGGAAATTTTGCCCGGACAGTAGGACAATGGCTCTTATATCGATTTCCAACTGCCAAGGGATCTTTTATGTGCATTCCCATGTGTACACTGGACCTCGATTTTGTCAGTTCATCTGAATGACTATGCATTGTCCTGCACCACTGACAAGGGGGGAAACCTCACCGGAAAATCCCATAGATGATATTGCAGGATAACACTATGGCTGATGGATAGGGATAGGCTAATCATGTGTCTGATACTGCAGGTTAACACTATGGTTGATGGATAGGCTAATCATGTGGCTGATACTGCAGGATAACACTTTATGGCTAATGGATAGGCTAATCATGTGGCTGATACTGCAGGATAACACTATGGTTGATGGATAGGCTAATCTTGTGGCTGATACTGCAGGATAACACTATGGTTGATGGATAGACTAATCATGTGGCTGATACTGCAGGATAACACTATGGTTGATGGATAGACTAATCATGTGGCTGATACTGCAGGATAACACTATGGTTGATGGATAGACTAATCATGTGGCTGATACTGCAGGATAACACTATGGTTGATGGATAGGCTAATCATGTGGCTGATACTGCAGGATAACACTATGGTTGATGGATAGGCTAATCTTGTGACTGATAAGTTGCAGGATAACACTAAGGCTGATAGATAACTCTGAGGCTGATAATAATGTATAACCCTACAGATGATACTGATAGGAAACCCTATGGCTGATAATGATGGATAACCTCATGGCTGATACCCAAATTTCTCTGTTATTAATAAATAAACTTACCTGTTAACATGGGTATAAGTGCTGCAGTGGTTGCATCCCCGACAATGTTATAACCATTCAATGTCACAGATTTCAACTCCTGTAAATATTTCATTGTCTTGGGCAACTTTCGCCTAAAGCTAAGCTGTGACATGGAGTCCAGCCCAAAAAACAAAACATTCATCTTAGTTGAAAATTTTCCTGGTTTTGTTTTAGAAATTCTATCGAAGACACTGGCTTTTGGATGAACATGAAGGAGAAACTGATCAAAGTCGCATTCCGAGGATTCGACCCCGAAAGCCTGGTTCTTTTGATTCCACATATCATAGTTATATCCATAGTCTCCATAGTCGTTATGGGGAAAAGCATTTTCCACCTCACTACTGTTGCTATGGAAACTATGTTCAAAATCGCCATAGTCATTACCTTGGATTTTAACACTGTCTTCGGTTTTGTTATTGATGTGGTAACTATGTTTATAATCACTGTCTAACGTTAGGTTATTATTGCTGTGGTAACTGTTATTGCTATGGTAACTGTTATTGGAATGATTATAATTGGAAATAAAGTTGGTGGTATTCTTTGAGTGCGGAATGTGGTTTGATTTATTTTCATCTGGAACAAACCCTAAATCACTTGGATTATTTTCATCTGGTAAATTACGTAGCAAACGACGTCTAAATGAGATAACAGATTTCTCGTGACTCGTTATTTCAACTTTCTCTTTATTCTCGCTTTCACTACTCTTTAAAAAACACTGAATTCTGATAAAATCCTGCTCTAATATAATATCATACGGATCAGTGTTTTTCTCCAAACTTTCGGTGTACGTGAAATAATCGTCCGTCACTCGCTCTATGCCGAGATAGACACACTTACCCAGTTCTTTCCCCTCTAGTACAGAACGATTCAACTTTACGACACCGTTTAACAAGCTGAACAGACTTTTTCCTGTACAATTTAACGGAGGCAAATGATAATATGCGTGTTTATTTGCGTCATGTTTTAAATCTAGATGAGGATGCCTGCACACCTGTTGATCTTCTGATCTAGAATTCGTCTTCGATTTAGAATGTTTCTCGAAAATACGTTGAAACATAACCATCCTTTCGTGATGTTTTCTTTCCATTTCGCGCTGCGCTGCATTTTTTCTCATGAATGGTGGAAGTGGCAAGATGCTGTTATATCCGGACATCATGCCTTCTGTGTCGTATAAAATGTTTGTATTCATCAAATTCAAACCAAATGCCAAATTTACGACGACAAGTAAAGAGCCGCATGTTAAAATAAAGAGCAGGGTTCGAACTTTTCGTGAGCGAGAATACAGCCGTATGAGTCTCACCATGATGGTATTGTGTTTTGTAAGGCCATACTCCCCTCCAATCACATACATCAGTACGACTGAAATATATAAAATAAATCTTAGATTATTTTTGCTGCCATCAAACAGCTTTTAGCATAATTTTGGTTGCATTATAAATGAATAAATCATTATTATTATAAAAGCAACATACATGTATACCGATGAAATGAAATGGGGTTTAGTGTCCTACTGTTTTGCTCTGACTGATGTATATTGATGTCCAGAAGGAACTATTAATACCTGAAATGAAATGGTGTTTAACATCCTACCTTTCCGAAGCAACCGGGACCAATGGAGAAGGGCATACAGGGAAAATTTGGAAAGACGGTGGCATTTCAATGAATTCCAGGGGTTGGGTGGTCAAATGGTTAGTGTGTACGTTGCATCACAAGGTCTGTCGTTGAGTCAAGTGATATGGTTTTGATTCCCTGCTTGTACGTGACAAGGGATGGGGTCTCCTGTGCAACCTCAGGAGTTTTCTCCAGGTCCTTCGGTTTCCCCCCACTGCTAAAGACCCCTACATGCAAGCGAATAATTGAAATAATATAAACAATATAAAAATATAAACACATGTTTGCTTTAGTCTCCCCGGTTGTACGTGGCAAGGAGTAGGGTCGCCTGTCCAACCTCGTGAGTTTTCTCCGGGTCCTCCGGTTTCCTCCCACTGCTAAAGACCCCTACGCGCAAGCAAATTATGTAAATAAAATTAAACCATGTTAGTCCCGAAATGACCTAGTTTGTGTCGAGTGGACGTTAAACCCCATTTCTCTCTCTCTCTCTCTTGCTTTAGTCTATAATATAAACAATATAAAAATATAAACACATGTTCCCTTTAGTCTCTCTCTCTCTGCATATGTGTATCTATCTCTCTGGATGTTAAACCCCATTTCTCTTTCCATCTCTTATTAAATTCCATCCATTAAGGGTTCTTATACATGCATGACAATACAGGCACATGCAAGAACCTCAGATTATTTGTACCATCCAAATGACTAGACACTGTTCCTTACCAAGCCCTCCTTCTGTAGACTAATGTAGACAAAAAAGTTGCTGTTCAATACATAAAATTTCAGGTGTATCAACTCATTGCAAAATGATAAAAACAATGTTTTGCTTCAGGCCAAAAGATCAATAGTAAGAATGACTCATTATCTCGGAAAACCATCTGTTGATGTTTGATTGCTTGTAAACATAAACTAACATATTAAATGATACTATAGGTGATAATCAATCTGCTGACATCAAATACCACATGTATATATATGGCAACAAAATACACACTTCCATTTAAAAATAAAATGGAGTTGAAAATAGACCCCATGGCACACCAAACCTTATTTTAATAATTTGCTCGATCATAGGGTCTTTAAAGTAGCCAAGTCTCCAACTCAATATCAAAAAAAGTCTTACACGTTGAAAACACAAATTATTTGTCAATTCAAATCAACATTGATGTTGTGATCTTACCGGGAAAAGGTAGGCTTCTGATATCCAATATTTAAGACAAAATAAACATTTTACCATTGGTACACGAATCGTGTACCATAGTGCGTTTCAGCGTCATTTGTAACAAGTGACCAGAAAGAACGAGGCTAGACATATTCCACAACTTCTGTCAAACGGGGACGCCATCTTATCTGGAGAGCATGCGCAATAGACTGGAATAACCAGACACTAGAAATTGTCATTCGGTTGAGACTCGTGCCATATTTCGCTGGACATAACTGATTTGAAATTAAGAGTCAAAACGGAAACAATTGAATGTAAATCAGTTTATATACAATCAGATTACATCATTATATGCGTTGCGACCCATTAGGGTCAATGATCGTATTCCTTGACACTTTCAAGCCAGTTGACTCAATGACAGACCTTATGATTTTGCATGCACTCGTTTAACCACTAGACCACCCAACCCCATAGGAGTTAACCAGGAGACTGGAGAAAACCCACAAGGCTGTAGGCTACAGGAGGTGACCCTACTCATTGTCACATAAAACTTTCTTGAAAAGCATGGGTACTTAGATAAAATGTTTACTCACAATAGTCTCTATTATCACACTTGTTCTTAGTCGATGTAAAACATGTTAATTATGTATAGATATACTTACGAAAATATACAACCCTATTTGAGACAAGCACAGCCCAAAGTATCTGATTTTACAGTAAACAGTGAAATATAGCATACAGTATCTACTTCATCTAATGAAGTTTGTTATCATTATCATGTAGTCAATATCTTATATGAAAGAATGACAGCTGTTACAATATAAAACCAATATCTTTAATATTAAAGATGATGGCTACTGAACATGTGGCTATTGTTGCTATTAATCAATCTTACTTCCAACAAAATAATCTCTCTGGCTAAGTGGGTAAAACACTGGCTCGCTAGTCTGGAGGTTGCGGGTTTGCTCCCGGTGTTGGCCGGGAAAGTTCGTTGCGATTTTCCGGCGTGGGTTCCCATTGTCATTGGTGCAGGATGGAGGACCTGACAAGGATAGCTGTCTAGTCATTTGGATAGGACAAAAACAAAAAACCCATTGGCGTGCACATAAAAGATCCCCCGACAGTTGAAATTCGATATAAGAGTAGGCTGTAGAGTCGCTGTCTGGGCAAAATTTACCTCATGGAACACCATGGCGTATGCCTATCTTCATTAGCCTTGTCGAAGCAGAACAGTAGGACATTAAACCCCATTTTATTTTCAATCCTCATCTCTCTGCTTGAATGTATAAAGTGTTAATTCTGGGGGCTAGCACCGACTTATACATGTATAATTTTAAACAAGAAGACTGTCAAAAGTTTTATTCACAAACTGAGTTGAAGATACATCTTAAAAATTAATTAGCCACACTTTTCCGTTCTGAATTTTGGTTTTTAGGCTTAAGTCTTTAGATGAATGAAATGAATTGAAATGGCATTTCTAACGTCATACTTTTCTGCACCAACCGGGCAATGAGTGTTCATGTAAGTATGGGCCGGCACCATGTTATATGCTAGAAATTTTGTCCAGGTAGCAGTCCAGTGTCGGCTCTTTAATATGTGCATGCCAATTGTGTAGGTGTGTACACAAAGCCTTGGTTTTTAGTATCACCCGAACAACTAGCCACTGTTCTTTGTCGGGACCTGTTACGTCACCTGTGACCCGTGACCCGTGACCCAACCACGCTGGGAAACTTTGCGAGTGAACCCTATCCTGATTAGTATTCAGCCAGATCTTTACTCACTGGGCCAGTTAGAAATGGTTCCACTCCTGACTCCACTAACTGATGTCGTCCGTCTTACCCCAATATTATCGCGACAATATTGTTTGTACATGTCGCTATGGGTCACTTTACTGAGCGGAGATATAAACTGAATACCAATGCAGAGTTACTGGTTATCTTGCGTCTTGTAGATTTTTGACTTCTGACCCTAACCCTAAGTAGCCGGATCAGCATACTGCGCCTAGATTTTTTTAGGATTTAGATAAGGCATAAGCATTCGAATATATCATAATCATGACATGGAAGCGGTGACAGTTCGAAACTTTGGCCGATTTAGGCTCGACTTGCATGCAATAAATGACGTATCATACATACTGTAATTTTATCGGTAAATACAGTTAACCACGTGTTAACCGTTCTCTTCTAATTCAGACAATAAACAACTGACAACAGGTTGTTGTTGACACTCTCACCGTCTAGCTCTTCAATGGTTGTACATTAGAGGCAAGAACTGTCGTCCATGCAATAACTCTCGGTGCTTCCGGTAGTAGAAAACTTCGTTGAAAGAATTTATGAATCATTCTAAAGAGTTTAGACTAGTCAATTATTTTAAAATTTAGGCGTCGAAATGGCTGTTTCTAGTGTTCATTTAGAAGCAGACGCCTATCTGGTTTGTATAACTCACGCACTGTCAACGGAGAGAGAAGAAGTGATGGGCTTGTTGATTGGAGAGGTAAAAAAAAAAAAAAACAAACAAAAAATAAAATCGTAAAAAAACAAAAAATGCAACCCCTTACAACTGACCACATGCTCTGCTAAACTAAGAATTATAAATAGGCCTAAAGTGAACAATAAACGAAACTTAGAGTTAGTTTAAATTTCTCAATCATGAATCTCTAATAGGAATTTAAGCCCTAAAATGGTCCACTTCCGTTTGAGTAGTTTGACAGTAAAAGGCTATTTTAACTATTTAAAGATGGGTTCCCAGAAAATATTTATCGGGTGGTTATTTCCAATAAAAGTATGGCAATTTTGGTATATATGGAAAGTAGAGATATCCAATCCTACTGGAAAAATACTGGATTTTATTTTGAAAAACACTCATGGAGCATATACAGGACAAAAATGTAAGGGTTCCCCTAATCAACAGCCCGACGATTAGGAACTTTTGCACGCATGATGTCAAAGGTCACAAGCGAACATTGAGCGCTTGATGTACAAGTTGATAAACTTTATGAAGAGTTAGACGTACAATACTTTCTGAGATAAAAAAGGCGCGGGTAGTGGATAATCCGAGAATTTAATTAGGATTCGATATTTGTAATAAATAGTAAGCGATTAAAGACAACATCGTTTTATGTAAGCAACTAATTCTCCTCGGACTCCCAAGACGTGACGTAAACATGACCTGGTTTGATCGAATTTTAATAGCAGGGCATTCCTTAGCAATTACAATGTTTGAGAAGGATTTGAAGCATAATTATGACAAATTAATTAGTTTGAATATGTTTTTGGTCCATATATACCATTAAATCACCCAGTTTGTATGCGGGAACCCATCTTTAAATTACATTTACAATTTACATGTTAAAGTAGTGAAATTTGATCAATCTATTATGTTCTGTGTATAACAAGCCCGTCGCGGAACAGAATTGATAGGTCTGTTTTAAATCTGATTGAATCCAAGATGGCAAATTAAATACACAGTTGGTAGTTTGATTTTGTTTTCTTAATTAATAAATCAGATTGGGCCTACATATTAGCATGGATTAAGCCCAGAGATATTTGATATTTTAGCGAAAAATGCAAACGACGCATCCTTACTTTAATTATCATCCTTGGAATTTTAGTTGTTTAACTCAGAACTGCTAAGTTGATTTGGTTACAGGTGGATGTATGATTTGTTACCCGGCAACTCATTTTTAATTTATTTGTAGGTGGATGAGCAGCATGTGTCCCATGTTTCGGCAGTCATTATGTTACGACGGTCAGATAAACGACCAGATCGTGTTGAGATATCACCAGAACAACTCTCAGATGCTTCAACCAAGGCTGAGGTTAGTCAAACGAAACTATTCCATAAAACGATAAAAAAAATTGTTTGCATTGGAATGGAAAGGGTTTTAATGTCTCATCAACACAATTGTTAGATCATTTTGTGACTAACAAATGGTAAAATGATTTCCATGGTCACAGGTGCAAAGCTAGAGAGGTAATTTTTGCCCAACGACTATGTAAGACTTTCCTTGTCAGTCTCTATATATAAAGCAGATGCTACCCCCGACAAATGGGAAGCAAGCTGAGAGTGCCTGGAGCGATTATTAGAACCTGGGAAATGAGAATAAAAAGTTTAGAGTCCGTGATTTAGGCTTATCGTCGACACAGGTAATTTTTTTATTTGCCTACCGATCTCTGTTACTAAGTAATATCCGTATATTTTATTTGCTTCAGATGCTGGCTAAAGAATTAGATCGCCCAATGCGAGTTTTAGGCTGGTATCATTCCCATCCCCATATTACTGTATGGCCTTCACATGTTGGTATGTATCATTGTCTAATAAAACTTAATTGACATGTTAATGCCATTATTCAAGTGGGATGGGTGTCAGAGTGGTATAACATATGATGTGTGGAGAGTTTGATCTAAGATTTGTATGTATTGTGACTCAGTGAGTAAGGCACTATCTCGCTATCCAAGAGGCCCTGAAGAGGTTTCGCCTTGTTGGTGTTGTAGGATGGGACAGGAGGACCTGGTAAGGGCCAGTGTCTTCTAGATGTTCGGATGAGACATGTCTTCTATAATAATTATTAAAGATACATTATGTAAGATTTAGATAAAGAGCTAACCATTCTTGCTATAAAAGTTCAAAATGAATATATTGAAAATTTCATTCAAAGTACTCTATTGCGAGTTAAGATATTAGCTTAGGAAGGTTTGACAAGATGTGTGCACTGATTGTAACCACCATACTGGTTGTTCGTAGCTAAGCCTAGCTTCTCCATTTTTAAATTAAATCAAAATATGGCTGAACTGTTCTAATCTACTTAATATTGGAGGTATCTGATTGCATCGAGAGTTGATTATGGCCTGGATCAGTTAATTAATGTCTAATTAACAATTTAGAAAAAATTTCAGGTCTGAAGAAAGACCTGCAATAGGCATATTTAGCTTTTGCATAATGTATTTTTATTATTACTTCAATGAAATCAACTGATATCGAAAAATAACAAACAGATGAAAGAAAAGATCTTGATGTTGGATAGATTTACAGATTCTAGAAAATTCTTCCAAAATTGATTATTTTAATTGAATTAATTATTCGAATTCCATTTGTTGTGACTATTGACAAACTCTGTATCATTTTTGTTTCGTTGGATCAAGGGTTTAAAGGGTTAATATTTTCTGTTTTTATTGTAGATGTACGAACTCAGGCAATGTATCAGATGTTAGATCCAGGGTTTATAGGCTTAATATTCTCAGTTTTTAATGAAGATAAAAATACAAAGGTAAGTGCAAGGAACTGTCCAAGATTTCTTACGATATAAATCAATAGAAATAAAATGGGGTTATACTTTTCTGGAGCCACAGTGGCTAAGTAAGTAAGATGCTGGCTGGCTAGCCTGGAGGTCGTGAGTTCTCAATCCTGGTGTTGGCCTAGAAAGTTCATCAGGATTTCCCATCGTGGTTTCCCCTTGTCAGTGGTACAGGATGGAGGGTCTGACAAGGGCGGCTGCCCAGTCGTTCGGATGGCACGGAAAATCGAGGTCCCATGTACACATTGGGATGCACGTAAAAGATCCGTTGGCAGTTGGAATTTGTTATAACAGTAAGCTGTAATGCAACCGTCCAGGCAAAATTTTCCTCATAGTACACTGTATAGCGTATGCCCATCTTCATTAGCCCAGTCGGAGAGAGAGAGAAGGGTTTAACGTCCACTCGACACAAACTAGGTCATTTCGGGACTAAGGCTGACCTTAAAAATATCTTTGTTTCACCAAACCCGACCCACAATCGAGGAGAAGGGTCGGTAGGTCGGGTTTTTTTTCAGATTTTTTTTTTAAGAGCTAATTTGACAGCTTGATAATTTTCCGGGTGCAAACATTCGTCTTCTTTTATTGGCAAACAAATCAATGACATCGGGATTTTTCTTGATGCACGACTCGCACACAAATTGCGACAAACTCACGTTTGAAACTCCCTCAACACGTTTTTAACGATCGTGCGGGTTGTGCCTTTATTTTTCTCGAAAACGGATGTTGAAAATATCGTCGTCATGTTTAAAACGACGCCCCACAGACATAGAGGCAGAATCATTTCGTGGGAATGGACGTGCTTTCGTCTGCAACCATTTTGTTGAGAAGCGACACCTATGACGCTTTCGTCTTGATCAACCAGTTTCAATAATGAATCAAACCATAGCCATGGTAAAGGGAAATAACTCTCGTGATATATTTCAGGTTGACACACAAAATAAAATAAAAAGATCGCGGAAAAGTGCAATAAAATAATTTAAGTCGGGGGTGGTTTTAGTTAGTCGGTCGCGTTAGGCGAAACAAAGATATTTTTAAGGTCAGCCTAACATACGGTTTAATTTTATTTCAATAATTCGCTTGCGCATAGTGGTCTTTAGCAGTGGGAGGAAACCGGAGGACCCGGAGAAAACCCACGAGGTTGGACAGGCGACCCTACTCCTTGCCACGTACAACCGGGGATTCGAAACCACGCCAGTTGACTCAATGACAGACTTTATGATACAGCGCGCGCACGCTAACCATTCAGCCATCCAACCCCCCTTAGCCCAGTCGGTGCAGAACAGTAGGATTGGGCTAATGACAATAGGCATACGCCATACAGTGTGCTATGAGCGAAATTTTGCCCAGACAGTGGCGCTACAACCTACTCTTATATCGAATTCCAACTGTCAAGGGATCTTTTACGTTATTACGTGCATGCCAATGTGTACATTTTTCATCCCATCCAAACAAGCCCTTCGTCCTGCACCACTGACAAGGTGAAACCACACTGGAAAATACTACAGATTACAATCCTAGTAGAAATGTTGCTTGGTAATAAACATTAGATTATGGTTGGCCCCTGGATCCATTAACTTGATTTGATATTGTTTGTTTTTTCTAGCAATATCTGTGTAGTTTGTCCGCAGGTTTGTCTTATCGTTTCTGTATTTCCAGTTCAATCCCTTAATGTCATTGAAACAATTTATCATAAAAAACTGAAGATATAAGTTTGTGTATTTTTACAATGAATTTCTTTTTTATGTAGCAAAATCGAGTCCAGGTGACCTGTTTTCAATCTGTGAATTATGGAGGAGATTATGGACCACCTCAGTAAGTATTTATGTCATTCTATATTCTTCATAGAGTCCAGGTAACCCAGTCCTACATTTTCAAGACATACTGTACAGGTATGATATATTATTTTTTGTGTCCATTTGTAGCAAAAACCATAAAAGAATCTTTCATATAACGGTAACTTTGAAAATGACATGGCCTCATTAGGAAAACTTGACCCAATATATTTCATTGCACTGAAAAAAAGGGAAAAAAATCGCATAGGATTTTGAAAATCTTTAGTTTCAATTGATTTACAATGTTTTTATGTTGATGAACAGGTACGAGCGAGTGGAAGTTCCACTACACATTGTACCAAGTGCAGGTATAGGTTCAACAGCTCTTGATGCTCTCGTAGAATTACCCAGAATTCTGTGTCTAGAGGAAGGAGAGGCATACGATCAAACAACACAGGGCGGTGATCTGGATCTTCTAACTAAAATACAGAACGCATCAGGTGAGTGTGTACCATTCTGTGTGTGTGTGTGTGTTGGAGGTGGGGGATTATGTTACCTGTTCAACCATGTGCGGCCTCCTTTTTCTTCCCACTGGTACAGATCTCTACCTGCAAGTGAATTATTAAAATAAAATTGCACCATCTGAGTTTGGAGTCAATCGGATTAAAAAGAGAAATAGCGTTTAAGATCCACTCGACCCAGACTAGATCATTTCAATAATTTGTTTGCGTTTAGTGGTCTTTAGCAGTCGGAGAAAACCTGAGGACCCGGAGATAACCCACAAGGTCGGACAAACGACCCTACTCCTTGTCACGTTCAAGCGGGGAATCGAAACCACGCCACTTGACGGATTAAAAAGAAGCCCATCAAAAGATTTTAGGTTAACTTACATGTGGCTTTTGACCATATTCCCCTTGTCAGTGGTACAGGACAGAGGGTTTAGACAAGGACAGCTGTCTAGTCATTTGGATGGGACTTCGCAATTGGAATTTGATAGGCCATAGCACTGCTGTGTATGCCGGTCGTCAAGTCGGAGCAGAACAGTAGCAGGGTAAACCCCATTTCATTTTTCTTTTTTTCTCTACCCCCCCCCCCCCTTTTATCTTCCCAATGTCTGTATAAAATTGTCTGTGATTATTTCAGTTTACACAAATTATTTATGTCATATTATGTAATTGTCTGTGATTATTTTCAGTTTATACGAAATGTTTATGTCATATTATGGAAGTAATGAGTGGACCTTTAATACAGGCACTAGAGAATCGTCTTAAAATGAACAAATTTAGAATGGAACAATTGACGCAGCAACGAGAAGATTTAAAACAACAACTGAGAACCTTGAAAACTTCCTGATGAGATGTGAGATGAAGATGCCTGTTGTATTTTATAAACATTAGTTTTATTTACAAACTTTCGGATTGGGGAACCAACAGAGACAATGTTAAACCCCTCCCTCAATGTGTATTGGAGAATTGAAAAACAAAACTTGTGTATACTCTCTCCAAGTGTATTTGGGAACAGACAGTAACTATGGTAACCTCCTCGCCTTTCTCCATGTGTATTGGAGGTGGTAACTATGGTAATCCCTTTTCAATGTGTATATGAGAACAGTAACTATGTAAACCCTTCCCCCTATTAAATGAGTATTGGAGGACAGTAACTATGGTAACTCCATACTCTTCTCAATTTGTATTTGAGGATAGTAACTATGGTAACCCCTCTCCATTCTCAATGTGTTTGGAAGGCAGTAACTATGGTAATCCCCTTCTCAATGTGTATGGGAGGGCAGTAATGATGGTAACACCCTCTCCCCAGTCTCAGTATGCATTGAGGGAAAGTAACTATGGTAATCCCTCTTCCTTCTCAATGTGTATTGGAGAGCAGTAACATGGGTAACCACTCCCCCTTTTCAACGTGTATTCGAGGACAGTAACATGGGTAACCCCTCCCCCTTTTCAACGTGTATTGGAGGACAGTTACATGAGTACCCCCCCCCCCCCCTTCAATGTCTATTGGAGGACATTAACTTAGATAATCCCTCTCCCTTTGAATTGTGTATTGGAGGACAGTCACTGTCAGTGCATAGGTGAATTTCAAATGGTACTTCTGATGTAGACTGCCATTCAAATGGGCTGCTGGCTTATTTTGATGAACAAATATGATTAGAAATTTCAATAAAAGTTTTAATAAAAGCGTGTAAATCAGTTTATTACATTAAAGGAGCTAAATCTCTAATATTTGGGACCTAGAAATTGACCCAAATGGGTCGCTACACATATAATAATGTAATCTGATTGTATAGAAACTGATTTACATTCAATTGTTTCTGTTTTGACTCTTAATTTCAAAATCAGTTATGTCCAACGAAATACGACACAAGTCTCAACCAAATGCCAATTTCTAGCGTCTGGTTATTCCAGTCTATTGCGCATGCTCTCCAGATAAGATATGGCGTCACCATTTGACATGAGTTGTTGAATATGTCTAGCCCCATTCTTTCTGATCACTTGTTGCAAATGACGCTGAAACGCACTATGTTTATTTTGTCTTAAATATTGGATATCAGAAGCCTACCTTTTCCTGGTAAGATTACAACATCAATGTTGATTTGAATTGACATATAATTCGTGTTTTCAAGGTGTAAGACTTTGGATGATATTGAGTTAGAGACTTGGCTACTTTAATATAAGGGGGGTTTGATGGCTGAATGGTTAGCGTGCGCGCTGTATCATAAAGTCTGTCATTGAGTCGACTGGCGTGGTTTCGAATCCCCGGTTGTATGTGGCAAGGAGTAGGGTCGCCTGTCCAACCTCGTGGGTTTTCTCCGGGTCCTCCGGTTTCCTCCAACTGCTAAAGGCCCCTACGCGCAAGCGAATTATGTAAATAAAATTAAACCATATGTTAGTCCCGAAATTACCTAGTTTGTGTCGAGTGGACGTTAAACCCCATTTCTATCTCTCTCACTTTAATATGAGCTTTTTTTTTTCTTTTTTTTTTGACCAATTTTCGTTTATACATGTATTAGGTTCCAAAGAATAGAGATTTAGCCCCTTTAAATAATATCTCGGCAAAAAAAAACCTTTAATTGTTGTGTAAACAAATGTTGAGTGTAAATATTTATTAAATAAAAGTTGTTAAATATTTTTGGGAATTTGAAATAAGTATCTCCTGGCGGTTGGAATTCGATATAAGAGTAGGCAATAGCGACGCTGTCCGAGCAAACGAGCAAAATTTTACTCATAGAACACTGTATGGCATATACCTATCTTCATTATCCCAGGTTAAACCTCGTTTTATTTCGGTTTATTCCCGCGAAGGCGCAGTTATTGACCGTAACGGATTAAAAAAGGTCGTTTTCGACGACTTCGCGGGAATCCAGCCCTAAGGATTAAAATGGATTAAAAACGTAACAATGGTGTTATAGATTGTTATGATAAGAATTTACACTTTCATAATCCCCACTTAACTAATTAACCAACATTTTAGCAACAGATAATAAATAAAAAACATAACTATACTATAACAAAAATTAATTTAGTCAAATAAATAAAAAAACATAACTATATTATAACAAAAATTAATTTAACTTTGCCAATAAAAACAACTATAATATAACAAAAATTAATTTAACTTTGCCAATAAAACAACTATAATATAACAAAAATTAGTTCAATTTCGCCAAATACGACACCCTGTCTAAATACTCGACTACTGTCAATTCATCGTACTGCGTCTTCGTTTTAATTCCTCGAGCTGGCTTTGAATTTGAGCATATTTATATCTTTTCTTTGGTGGTTCCTGTCCCCCAGCATATTGGACGATTCTTATCTCATTAATATTTTGTTCTTGTTGCAAAAATGTAATCAATTCAAAAACATTAGAGTGGGCTTTTCCAACTAGCTTCTTACATATAACCACCTGAGCAAAGATATCGCCCTCCGCGATTTGTAGGTACAAAGCTCAATCCAAGTTGTGCGTTTGCCATTGTAGAATATTATCTGAATTTCAGATAGTGTAACGGGATTTTATATCTTTAAAAATGACACTGATTGTGTGAGTGAGCGAATAGGTGAACACTACTTGGGTGATTTGATGATATTCATCATTAGTTGTCAATTGGTGAATAAATTCAGAGTGAACATAAATTCATAAAATCTTTAACACCGTTAATTGGGTCCTAATAACAACATGTCTCTCTTCAAACGAAAGCCGACACGTCGATATCTGCGCCTTCGCGGGAAGGATTAATTTTGGTCACGATCTGTAACTGCGCCTTCGCGGGAATACACCTTTATTTCATTTGTCTATGTTGTGTACCGTCATCGGCGCTGAAAAAGCGTTTGGCCTCGCTAACTGTCGTTAATCACTATTATATAGCGGCTATTTTAGGTAACTAGGTTACTGAGTTTATATGGTACGGGAAGACAAATTTGTTTATTTATTTTAGTAAAAATAAATCCCTTTTTATTAGGTGTATTAAAACCAGTTCATTGACACCCTGTTTAAAGGTTTGATCGACATCTAATTTCAATGGGATTGACTTCAGGTAATGACCCAGTTATAAATCTATTTCACACGACCTTGAAATGTACGTATTACCAATGCTATTTGCAACCGAAAGAGGCATATGAGATCTTTTATAATTCGGGGAAGAAGTGGGCTAAAATATATAGCCTGAAATCAGTTAATAATATTGCCCACCAAATTGTTCTTTTGCTCGATTGTTGTCAGCACCATCGGTTATTTTAGCGAAACGGGTCTGTTTTCCCGGAAGAAACGCCCTTTGGACATACATGTATACTAAACCGCGAAAAAAAAAACGTCAGTACGATTTCAAAATCAGAGAGGCCTTTAATCAAATCATTCTAGAAAACGACTTACTAAATGGATCAAAGCAATTTTTTGTGAACAGTATGTCGGCACATTAGTGATTAATTCATCACAATTCCAAGACATTACGAGGTTTAGAGTCTGTACACAGTCTATACATCAGTCTCTGGTGTGCCCACCGCGAGTGTCAATAACAGCAGCGCAGCGTCTGTACATGGAGTGGTCCAGACGATTGATGAACGCCATTGGCACCTGGAACCACACTCTCAGAAAAGCCTGTGGCAATCCAGCGGTACGACCTTATTAAATATCCTCTGAATTTCATCCCAAAGATGTTCAATCGGGTTTAAGTCCGGACTAAGGGCTGACCAGTGCATAACGTTGACACCGTTCTGTTGTAAAACGTCCCGATTAATTCTGGCGGTGTGGGCACGGGCGTTGTCATGCTGGAAAACGTTGTTTCGATGATGTGCGAAATGTGGTATGACGTGGGGTCTGAAAGCTTGGTCGATGTAGCGCACTGCTGTGATGCCGCCTCCTCTCCCTGGACCAAGATTTTGGAATACCACAAGACCCACTCTCTGGTTCAGACAGATTCCACCCCAAACCTTTATGCTTGGAACTCCCCATGAGTCTCATTCCATGACACATTGGTCAGAAAAACGCTGGCCACGTCGACGCCATATTCTGGTCCTGCCATCTGCAGTTGATACGCGATACCGACTCTCATCTGTGAACAGAACAGTTCTCCATTGGTGTTGTTGGGCAAACTGTAGACGTTCACGTCGATGGCGAGGGGTGACAATCGGTCCACGGTAAGGTCTACGGCAATGGATGTTCTCTCTGGTGAGACCTCGGCGCACTGTATCGGTACTGATGGGCCTTCCGTGTGTTCCCACTGTCAGACGTGCTGTCTCAGATGCCTGTGTGAATGGATTCTGCACGTGCTGTCGCACAACATGGCGGTCTTGTCGCCTTGTTGTAATCCTTGATCTACCAGTTCGCGGGCAATCGTCCGTGGTGTTGGTGGCCCGAAAGCGTTGCTGAAGCCTGTAGATGGTCTAAACATTGACCTGGAAGTGATTGGCAACGGCTTGGGCAGTGTGGCCAGCGTCGAGTCGTCCAAGCGCCTGGTTTCTCTGAGCTGTCGTGAGTCCTGGCATGCCGCTGACGTTGTAGTGTGAATGATTCAACCAGGTATATGTGTGCATTTTATAGGGGTGATCCCGGTGAACATCAATCATGTGCAGCATGAGTTACATGAAACTCATGGAGAACACATTACCATCTCAGAAGTCAGGTTGCGTTTTTGAGAACATTTCCTTCGTTCAATTCTGTGTTTGGGAAGGCGCCTTACTGCTCAGGTAAAGTTGGGATGTGGACACAAATTATACAATAAAAGCATTTGGCATGTTTTATGCAATGCGTCTATTCAGAGTAACATACCAACCTGACGTTTCATTTTCTGCTTAGTATATTTATAAGTGTAACATCAACCTTTACCCTCCCGCGTTCATTCAATATATCAACAGGCAGTTATTGTTGCGACCTATTCAAACACATGTCATATATTAAAGGCCAGATTATACTCCAAATAAGTTAAATTCAAGAGAGTTTAATGTCCTACATTACACACACACAGCAACAAGTTTATAGACAACGTTCTCACATAGTAACACGTTTATAGACAACGTTCTCACACTGCAGCATGTTTATAGACAACGTTCTCACATAGTAAAACGTTTATAGACAACGTTCTTACACACACACAGCAGCAAGTTTATAGACAACGTTCTCACACACATACAATAACACGTTTATAGGCAACATTCTAACATAATAACAAGTTTATAGACGGCGTTCTCACACACATACAGTAACACGTTTATTAACAACGTTCACCCACACATACAGTAACACGTTTATAGACAACGTTCACCCCCACACATACAGTAACACGTTTATAGACAAGGTTCTCACATAGTAACAAGTTTATATAAGACAACGTTGTCACACACACAGCAACATTTTTATAGACGAGAACTGCCAACAAGAGAGAGAGACGAGTACATTAAAGACATGCTATAATTTACAAAATATTTGAAAACATTTTAGTGTTAAACGATTATAAAGCAAATTCTCCTAATTCAATTAATATCACAGCCATCTGATGGCATACATAGTTGCTTATCGGTTTGTCATGTAAATAATAATTTGTATAACAAATGTAGCCAGATAAAAGACCTGCAATTTGTAGATTTAGCTCTTACATAATGCATCTTTAAAGAGACAATAACACTCTTGCTGGCTTGAAAGCTAACAGTAGGACGTTAAACCCCATTTCATTTCATTTCATTTGGCTTGA